AAAAAAAAAAAAAAAAAGTCTCTGGTGGCCTTCCCTGCTGAGCCTCACTGCTTCTCCTCTTCCCAGGCATGACAGAGATGGTTCGGAAAATCACTCTGAGCAGAGCGCTGAGAATCATGCAGAACCTGTTTCCAGACGAGTACAACTTCTACCCTCGCTCATGGATTCTGCCTGATGAGTTCCAGCTCTTTGTCACTCAGGTAGATGGCTCACTGGCCTGTGGCCCTTGAATGATAATTAATGCTTGTGACTGCAGCTGTGTCCCTGGTCCTGTGTGCTGTGACCTGGGCCAAGTGGACACCAGGAAGTTGAGCAACTTGCTTGTATACCGTGTGTGTTGGCAGCCATCGAGGCAGCTTTCCGAGTGGAACAGGCAGGGCGGCAGGTAGGTAAATTGAAGTGACAGGTGCTAGAGCTGGTTCATGGAGTCGGGGAATCAGCAAATTGGGAAGATGAAACAGGTGTGGAGCCCACAAGTAGAATGGGCCATCTCGGGGGAACCTGGAGGGTGGGCAGGACTAACAACCCGACATGGGAAGCCTTCTTCATGTCCTGCTTTAAACTTGGGCCAGAATCAACTTTCCAATCGTCTGTCCAATCGTCCGTCCCTTCCGCCTTGAAAGCAGTGTGTTTGCGCATAAGATACTCCAGAGCCTTGCTACTGGTTTGAAATACTAGTGGTGGGGAAGTCAGACTCAGAATCAATGTTTAGTTTAGTTTTTGTTTTTGACAAGTTCTGCAGAGCATGCCATAACAATGAACTAAGGGTAGCTGCAGCAAACCTTGGTCTCTCTGGGACAAGTCAGGTACTTTAGCACTTTTGACTGTAGTCTGGGCATTGTGCTAGCTGTTTAACATGATTTGTTTTAACCCTAGAATAATTTTATGTCATTAGTTTTATGAATAGCTCCATTTTATGAAAAAAAGACTAAGGCTTTGAGAAATCATGGAGTCTGATCAAGAAGTAAGATTTAAATCTAGAGCCAACACAGAGGCCTAGAGTCTGTTTGAATGGCTCAATGTTGTTTTAGGGTCTAATATGAAAATCTAGAATTCAAAATAAGATTGAGAGTTACCAAACACAAAAATAGCTTGCTTTCTGGTCAGTGGGACACACTACTTTAAACCCAGCACTCAGGAGGCAGAGGCAAGTGGATCTCTGAGTTAAAGGCCAATCTGGTCTACAGAGCAAGTTCCAGGACAGCAATGGCTACACAGAGAAACCGTGTCCTGGGGGGAGGGGGAGCAAGAAAACAAAAACAAACAAACAAAAATCCCATCTTTCTCATTTTTAAAGAGAAGCATGGGGGCTAGAAGCTCAGTGGTAGAGCCCTTGCCCTATGTGTGTGAGACCCTGGGTTTGGTCTCCAGCATTAGAACAGATGGACGGATGGATGGATGGATGGATGGATGGATGGATGGATGGATGGATGGTAAGCACGTGGATCTGTGGTGTTTATTGACTCAGGTGTATTTATTATGTGACTCTCATGTGGCCTGCCTGAGACAGTGACTCACATGTGTCCTGCCTGAGACAGTGACTCTCATGTGTCCTGCCTATGACAGTGACTCTCATGTGGTCTGCCTGAGACAGTGGCTCACATGTGGTCTGCCTGTGACAGTGACTCTCATGTGGTCTGCCTGTGACAGTGA